TGTGTGTGTGTGTATATATATATATATATAATATTCTGTAACTCTGTAACTTCTGTCGGTGCTGTGCTTTTTTGGAAATCGAATTTCCCAGAGGAACCCACCCGAGGGATTAATAAAGTTCTATCTAATCTAATCTAATCTTTTCTGACCCTTAATAGGCCAATCGAAAAGCTCTAACTCTCGTCACGATGTGCTTCCCTCTCGCATTATCAAAAATGCCCTGAACACTATAGGACCCTGCATCTCACTTCTAATGAATTCATCCCTCTTATCAGGCTAACCCTCGCCTTCATTGGCTCCCCGTCAAATACCGTATGGTTTTTAAAATCCTTTTATACACTTTTAAAATTTTAAATAACTTGGCACCCAGCTACTTAATCGACCTCCTTGACCTATACATCCCCACGAGAGCACTCAGATCCTCTAACCAGGGGCTCTTAATGCAACCAATGTCTCGACGGAGGAGTAGGGGGGATCGTGCTTTTGCTTTTGCCCAAAACTCTGGAACAGTTTGCTGATTGATGTCCGTGCATCGGAATCCATCCAGTCCTTTAAATCACGTTTAAAAACCCACCTGTTTAAGCTTGCCTTCCAAACAACTTGGTTTTTAACTTTTCCCTGGTTCATGCTTGTTGCCACGTCACCATCTTATAACTGTATATCTTTTGCTGATAATTGTATTTTCCTGCTCCTTTACTGCTGTAACCCCGCAAATGCGGCTCGTCTGTGAAACACTTTGATGTACCTGAGACTTTTAAATGTGCTATAAAAATAAAATTGAAACAGAAACTGAACTGAATATCATAGATAACTACAGCATCAAGAAAACTAGGAAAACACTAAGAATTTACTGGGGAAAAAGAGGTAGAGCAGACAGTGAAGACAACAGTTATGAATATACAAAGACTGAATACAGGTGGAAACAGGTGGAAACAATCAAGGGATAACAAGATAAAGACAGTAAAGCTAAAGACAGACGGCACAAAAACTACCAAAATAAAACAGGAAGTAAAACAGGGAATAAACAAATCACTGGGGCACAGGGAAGGCAGGATAAACAGAAACTCAAGTAATCACATAAAAACAAAACCACAACCAAGAAGAGAACAAAACTCAAACATGTGAATACAAACATAAAGAAACCAACCAGGAAACAACTTATAAGAATACAAATCTCAAAACATCACCACACAAAAATCCCAAAATTAAAACCACAAATCAGGCACAAAATCCTGACATGATGTTCTTAGCGTAAAGAATGATAACATGAAGCCAACACATCAGTGCATTTTGTCAATAAGAAAAAAAATTCTTCCACTTACACAACAGGAATTAAGAAGACTCGAATATAAATTTACCTCCACTCCTATTGGCTGTTGTTCTGCTGTCACATCACTTCCTGTGACCACTATTTGGCTTTATAGAACAGCCACTAATGTTGCTGCAGGTCACGTAGAGCCCACCGTGCAAATGTCACACATGATGCTGCACTGAAATTCACCGTAGCGCCACACCCGTCAAGAAAAGCTCAATACCTTCCACATTTGTTCTTCTAAAGACTTTTGTGTATGAAACACAAACAATTAATTATATTATTTCTGTCTCTGCACATTTATGTAAATTCTGTGTTTTTCAGCATGTTAGCTATTATTACTGCTATTACTATTACTACTAATAATAAACAGATTTTAATTGCTCAAATCATAAGTACTGCATTACAAGTGAAAGTAAATGAGATGTAGTCACCATACAGCACTTTGCTGCCATGCAGACCTCCTCTGCTGTTTCTCCTCTTCAGACGTTTCCTCCTAAGTTGGTGCTGCTGGATTTTGGAGATACGGACAGCATGCCTGAGGCAATCGCAGAGATCCTGGACTGTTATGGGTGCCTGGATATTATTATCTTTAACAGCAGCATGAAGGTGAAAGCTCCAGCACAGACTGTGTCTCTGGAGGTGGACAAACTGCTGATGGACAACAACTACTTTGGGCCCGTCACTCTGGCTAAAGGTAGATGATGGGAACATGTTCAACTTTGACCTTCTAAGGGTGAGACGATGAAGGCTGAATTTCTCTTTCAGGTGTGCTGGCCTCCATGATCTCCAGGAGAAGTGGTCACCTGCTGCTGGTTAACAGCATCCAAGGGAGACTAGCTGTGCCTTTTCGCAGCACCTGTGAGTTTTTAAATTCCCTTTTTCATGAAACATCAGATAACTTCAGTCTGCATAATGTTCGTATTACAAAAACTGGTTTTAGTTTATGGCGAACTCATTTGCTGTATGTTGAGGTAATCTGTTGTAAAACTGCTTAAACTGTTTCTGTGGAAACAACAGAAACGTTAGTTCAGTCTGTATTTTGTTTCTGATCAGTTACAAAGCAAACTCGAGATTTTTGACAAGAATCAACAGTTCTAATTACTCATTTCTTTGATATTTGGTAACAGCAGAATTAA